GTCCTCTTTATGTTTCTCCTAATAGGACCATGTCTGTTAAATTGCCTAGAGAAGTTCCTGCAAGATCAGATACACAAATTCACTAACCAGCCAGTCAATCAACTACTTATTCAAGACTACCAGACCCTGATGCTCAAGACGGAGACCTACGACTCATAACCAACTGCTCTGGCTCCAGAGACTCTGCCCCACCTAAAACCCTCCCTGATCCCTTTACAGGAATGAGATTCTTCACCCCTAACCAGCAGGAAGTAGCCAGATGTAATTCAGAGCCCTATATCATCAAAAAAAAGCCAGGATATTAGGTCAGTTTGAGGTAGCTAAGGGAACAAAGCACCAGGCAACCTGCACGTGCAAAAGAACAACCGATCAGGCACTGACAGATAAGCAGTGAACCACCTGTCAATCAGTGGGGTCTCCTGACCAATCCTGGAAGGACACGGATCTCAGCAAGATCCCCTGACCAACCCCAGAAGGACAAGGGACTCTAAAAACCTCCCTTTCCTGTCCCAAACCCTCCCTTCCTTCCCTAAGCCCCAAAAATTTCCAGTCTATCTGAGCCTGTGCTTGACTCCCCTGGACGGGCTCTGTTGGACTGGAGGGTCTTGTCCAGGAGTTAGTCTCAATAAAGCCTTGTTCAGCAGCCTTTTAATCAGCCTCCTTTTGGTCATCGGTGCCTGACCTTACCCAGATGGGACATCTATATAAGTATTTAGCTATTTATACTGGACTCAACCCATGAACTCAACTGATCCTTCCCCCCAGCCTCCTGAGTAGTAGAGAATATAGATGTTCACCTCCATGCCTTGCTTTTCCTTGCAGAGAAGGAGCATCACTTATTTAAGGGGCCCACTACAGCCACTGGCAGCCACCATTGCATTCACCAAATGCTGAGGGGAGCCCTCCCTTTTGTACAGAGGAGAAGTAACTTGCCTACAGTCACGTAGCTTGCAGAAAGGGTGAGACCAAGTGGCTATTCAGGGACATTTGCACACCTGCCCCCAGCATTACCTATCAAGGTAGATAATGAGAAAAGGGCAAGGAATGGGCTTTTGGGTCATCTCTGAATGGTATGAACCAAGCCCTGCTGTGGCCCAGACACCCATCCCAAAGAGGCCTGTGTTGTCCCAGCTCAGGGGGTCACTCCTAAGTTGGGCAGCAAAACCGACTCCCAAGACCCCTCTTCACAGGACCATTCCTGCCAGGTCCTTCTCTCCCAGAGGCCAGGCCCAGGCAGGACCCCCAGAGGCAGCAGCACAATGCAGTGGACAATTAGGCCATGACCCAGGATCTGCCCTTCTGGGAGCCTGTCTCCCGCTTGTGCCTCACTTTGCTCATCCTTAAACCAGGCCAGGCTGTTGCTTTGGTTCTAAGATTTTTGTTAACAAAAGTTCACATTCTTGTGTTTAACTTTGGTTCAGCATTCCTAGCATGCATTAGGCCTGTTTTGGGACCTTGACAAACTAAACTTCCAGGGTGATGAGGTGTGGGGACAGTTGTCACCCTTGAGGGGAGGAGCTAGAAAGTTGTCAAAGGGTGGTTTGGAGGTGCAGTCACCTCTGTCTCCTGACCTGGGCACCGTTGACCTGAGTGTGCTGGGTGAGCAAAGTCTGCAGGGAGCCTAACCCTTCTGGGCACTTCTCTAATCATCTATGTGGTAATTCACCCAAAAGTTGATAATCAGTCATTCAGTGTGGACCTTTGGCCTCTCAGGCATGGCTCCACGCACCCTTCAACTTCAAACAAAACCAAACTGGCAAGGAGACAAGACCAAGGGCCGAGGGGTCTGCCCACTTTGGCAAGACAGGCAGGGAAGCCAGGGCAATGGCATCTGTGGGCGTGGAAGGCAGCACCTGGGTGGCAGCCACAAGTGGGCCTTGCTTCAAGCCCCCAGGTTCCCCCCACAGCAAGAAGCAGAGTGGGTGGTGGGAGGAAGGAGGGAGGCACAGGCCCTGGGTCACAGAAGAAGAGAGAACGAGGAGGTGTGGTCCATTATCACCTCTGTCTCGGGGAGAACTAGAGCAAGAAACCCTGAGGACAGTCCTGGGCTGCAAAAGAACAGTTCACCCAAGGACGGCCACATAGAATGCCCATGAAGGAGCTTGAAACCTCCTCTCACCCAGTGACACCACAGCCATGTTAACAACCTAGTGCAACACACTACCTGTGTATGGTGGTGATAGTGTAAATAACCCTACTGTGTGGCCGGTGGTATAAAAGTAGAGCACGAGCAATTATGTACAGTACAGCATACTTGATGATAGTAAGGGACTATGCTACTATTTAGCTACTCACTATACTTCACCTCTGATCATTAGAGTGTAGTCTCTTTATGAAAAAATATACAGGAAAGCAATACACCCTGTGACACCAGCAGCAGCCTGCACCATGCAACTCATGTTTACTTCATCTTTTGTTTCCCTCAAGAGGCAACATGGAGGTGGGTGCAGTGGCCCAAGTTTACAATCCCAGCGACTTGGCAGGCTGAGGCAGTAGGATCACATGTTCAAAGCCAAACTCAGCAACTTAGCGAGGTCCTAAGCAACTTAGTGAGAGCCTGTTTCAAATTAAAATATAAGAAAGTGGCCAGGACAATTCTCAAGCACCCCTGGGTGAAATCCTCAGTACCAAAATAATTCTCACAACTACTTGATTGTCTAATGATGCACATCTAGGAAGAATTTAGGAAGATCTGGTGACCCATGACTATATTTTGTCTTTTTTGCCAGTTTGGTATTGTTTGAAGTTGAGGAGTGCGTGGAACCATGCCTGAGAGGTCAAAGGTTCACATTGAATCATTGAGTCTCAACTTTTGGTTGAATTAGCACATAGATGATTAGAGAAGTGCCCGGAAGGGTAAGGCTCCCTGCAGACTTTGCTCACCCAGCACACTCAGGTCAATGGTGCCCAGGTCAGGAGAAAGAGGTGACTGCTCCTCCAAACCACCCTTTGGCAACTTTCTAGCTCCTCCCCTCAAGGGTGACCACTGTCCCCACACCTCATCACCCTGGCAGTTTAGCTTGTCAGGGTCCCAACTTGGACATCTCATGGATGGGCAGGGAAGGGGCTGCACCCTTGGTGGAAACTGGGGAGGTGGGGGCTCCCTGCTGAGCTCCTCTGACAGCACAGGGCAGGGTGCTGAGGGTCTCAGGGCAGGTGCCCCTCCCTGGGGCCTCAAGGGTGTGCCTCCGTCCCATAGCAGTCCAGATCCCTGGGTCTGTACATGACGTGGATGGAGTCTCCTTGGAAGACCATGTGCAGAGGGGGCTGATGACCTCACTGCAGCCGTTGGCCATGAACTGGTCTCTGTAGATCAGGAAGTCTGGTGACAAGTGAGGGCAGCAGCAGGGAGAGGACCTGATGTCCAGGCCCAGAATGAGGCTCCTTCCACTCACTGGCTCCTACTCCATGTGGGGATACTCCAGCCTCAGGGCACTATGTGGCCAAATCTGGAGACAAGGTCGCTACGTGGGTCAAGGCCGAAGGAGGGGATGAGCAGTGGATCCTGGCAGAGGTGGTCAATTACAGCCACACCACGAACAATTGAGTGGACCCCCCCACGCCGCCTCAGCTGTACCTTGCTCACCACACCCTCTCAGTTGGCATTGTTCAGCCTGTGTGCACAGTGGGAGAAGAGCTTCCAGGGAGGGCACCTGGGCAGGAGGTGTGGGAGGCACTGGGCTCCTCGGGCCACTTTCCCACTCTCCATCTCCCCCTCCTCCTCTTTCTGGCTCCCTGGCTTGCAGTGGGCACCTGGCTACACCTGGTGTCCCCCTTCCGTTCCCCCACAGGTATGAGGTAGACGACATTGATGAAGAAGGCAAAGAGTGAGTGTCCAGCTGGGAATGGAGGGGCCAGGCTCCTGACAAGTGGACTCCCCTGGCCCTGGGCTAATTGGGTCTCCCCTCAGGACACACACCTTGAGCAACAGGTGCACCATCACGTGACCCCAGTGGAAAGCCAACCCTGAGAAAGACCCCGAGGCCTTATCCAGAGGCCAGCTCCTGCTGTCTTACATACCTGGACCACCTCCTTCTCCAGTGCCCCGATACATACAGTGCCCTGACCACAGACAGTAAGGCAGCCTCCACTGAAAGGCCCACCATGACACCAGGACCCCAGACAGGGCATGGATCATCTTCCAATTCTTTCCCTTTTCTCCTCTCATGGCCTCACAGCTTCAAGGACCTACAACTTCAAGGACCTTGTGAATCCCTGCTGCAAGCCTGAGCCTCAGCCTGCCCCCCAGGGAGCAGGCTGCTCTGCCTGTCTGTCCTTCCTCATCTGGGCAGTCAGACAGCGCAAGCTGGGTGCCCGTGCCCAGACCTCCTGACTCCTGCTTTCACCCCTCTTGCTGGTACTGACCCCATGTGACCTGGGTCCCATGTAACCTAATTCAGGCTGAACACAATTCCCCCTGCACCAGCCTGTGACCCTCTGGGTTGTGTTTCATCTTCTTAACATGGAGGTCCTGATTGGCACCAGACACCTTGCCGTTCTAGCATGACCCTTTGGGATGGAGTCTCATCTCTTCCTTCCTTGCCACTGCTCTTTGTCTTCTGCCCTAGGCCACCTTCACTGAGGACCAGCTCTGGACAGCAGGGAGTAGGAAGGGGACCTGGTCCTATCTTCATCCTACAAGCCCCGGGTGAAAACTCCATCCTGTTTGAAGACACGTCCTATGCAGATGGTTGCTCCCATCCACTCAGGGTAACCCAGAGGTATGTGGTGGCTTATAGGAATTCCAAAAATAAGGGAAGTTGGCTGGGAGACTAGAGGGAGGAGGCAACAGAGCATTTTACAGGATCCAATGTTCTTCCCCTTCTCTCATGTCCCTGGGCCATCCCTCTTGCACACCCTCTTTCCCACCCAGGCAGGGCTGGTGGAACCACAGGCTGCGGGGCCAAGGTCCCTACTTGGTCCCAGTGGGATTGACTTTGTCTTAAATTTCCTCCTGGATTCCAAGAGAGCCTCTTGTTGGACACATCATGTTTTATTCCTGAGGTCATAGGTCAGGCTTGCGCCCATGCACCCCCTGCAGTGGCTCCCCACGACACCACTCAGAGCTGCCAGCGGAACTTGAGCTTGCAGCCTGCCATCTTCTCAGCATAGTGGGCGTCAAAGTGCTCATTCTGGGCCACAGTGAAGACGGATTTCCAGTCCCCCACGATGCCTGGGGAGGGAAAAATGCGTCTGAGTCCCCCCACACCGGGGGCCCCCAATGGCTCAGGGCAGGCTCTGGCAGCTGCTTCCACCCTCCCTTCTGCAGCCACGCCCCCTGGCCAGCACCCACCTTTTCTCATGAAGGGAGAAATGTTGTGGTCCATTATCTCAGTTGGTATGGTGCTGTAGTTAGCCATGGGATTCTTCTTCATCTCCTTGAAGGATGTGTGCTGGACGATGTGATCCACGGTCTCCTCTGACAGGGAGCGCCCCAGAAACTCCAGGATCTTTTTAATCTCCCTTTTGGGGTTCTGAAACAAGAGACAGGCTCATTAGAGGGGGCCTGGATTACTTACAGTGAAAACACAAGGGAAGTCTGCTCTCTGGTGTCACAAGCAAGGAGCTGGCCCCTTCCACTTGGAAACCTCCCAGCCCTAACTCTTCACTCTGGGCCTCTTTCCCTAGAGCAAAAAGACTAGTTCTCAGCCTTAGGGTCCTGGAGTGAGCCCTGCTTGGTGCCTTAGGAGAGAGGGCAGGGACAGTCTTCCTTTAGAACTGTGGCCCCAGGCAGGAAGACATGACAACAACAAACTGCTCATCTGTGACCACATGTGTAGCTGACCCAGGTGCTAGGAGATAAGGCCTGAGCTGGTCCTGAGCTGAGCTGGCTCTGTGGCCAGGAATGGGAAGAGTGTGGGGAATCCTGGATTGGGTGGGCCTACCAATGGGGAGAGTCCTGAGGGCCTGGGCAGGTGCCCTGATGTTCCTGTCCCCCAGATAGGACATGCAGAGAAGTGTTAGAATGCGGTCTCACCTCCTTCAGGTCTTCATAGAAGAGGTAGAGCACAGGGTGGGTGCGGCCCAGCTCCCCCCACTTTAGCACGTGCTGGTACCACGACCCAAAGGACACTGGGGAAGGAGTACCGTCCAATTGGTAAGAGTTTCAGGTGGGCTTCCTCAGCTCCATCCCTCTCCTTCCTCCAGGTTGGGGCCCACCTTGTCCATCCATGAACTTCTCCAGGAAGCTGTCCCAGGTGCCAGGTTCAGGGTGTCCCTTGGCCATTTTGTAGAAGTTGTAATAGGAGACAGCCACGTCCTTTGCATTGCGGGCAACATAGATCACCTGCAGGGACAGACGACACCCTCTGCCAGCTACACCACCCCACGTGCACACCCCAGGACTGCCTGCCCTCCTGCCTGCCTGGCCCCCTTCACAGCACCCATAGGGGGAGTTCCTTCTCAGCTTGACCTGGGAACACACTGAGGCCTTGAGGCTGACTTGCTGGAGACCTCAGGGATGGCTGTGGCAGCTGGGATCTGAACTTAGATTTTTAAAACATATTTTTAGTTGTAGATGGACACAATACCTTTATTTATTTATTTATCTATTTATGTAAGTGGTGCTGAGAATCAAACCCAGTGCTGCACATGTGCTAGGCAAGTGCTCTACCACCCAGCCACAACCTCAGTCCCTGAACTCAGCTTTGGTGTGATAACCCTGGCTGGTCTCTGGAGCCTTACTTCATACGAATCTCACCCCTTGAATTACCCCACACACCCAGATGGAGAACAAGGCAGGCAGAGGACCCTCCAGCTCCTCTGTGAGCCTCTGAGCCGCAGAGCTCCCCTGTGCTCAGGTCTGAACTGAAGAGACTCACTCTCCTCATGTTTTGCCCACCACAGTGAGGACAGGTTGTCTTTCCACTTGAGTAGAGACAAAGCTGGAATGGCCTAGTGAGTCCCCTGCCACTCACCTTCACCTTCTGATCCAGAAAACTTTGGGGAAGCAGGGCCAGTTGCAAGTGTGTTTTGAGGAGCCGAGGGGCAGGTGTATCTTTCAAAATGTCCATACCTAAGGTGCAGGCAGGAGAAGATGTGATGAGCTGGAGCCCATTCCTCTAAGGTCACCTCGCCCAGAATCCTACCACTCACCTGTGGAAAGCCCTGGCCATTTCAACTCAAGGACAGGCACCCGTTCATAAGTTGGGGCCCGGTGACACTTCTCTAGGTTACCATCCTGGTAGATCATTTCCATGATCTCAGTTACCCATGTGCTACCTGGAAAGAGAGAGAAACAGAAGTGACCAGAGTGGAGGGCCAGGCCCTGCTGATCAAGGTGGACCCTGCAGCCCCAATGGGCTCTCCTCACTTACCAGACTTGGGATAGGTGCTGATGAGCAGGTCATCGGGCCAGGCCTGGAAGCTCTGAATTGGCTCCACCATCTCTCCAATGTACTTGAGCAGTGGGACCCCCTTCACATTGACCAGCGGCTGGCGGTAGATATCCTGGACCAGCTCCATGCTACCGAGTCAGGGACCAGCGCCTGATGTGCTTCTCTGAGTCCCATCACAAAACAGCATTTGCTGGATGGTTGCTCTGAGATACTGAGGCTTCAGGAGGTCCTGTATTTGCCCAAGCTTACTAAGCTAGTAAGTGGCAGCTGGATTAGAAGGCAGATCTATCCCCAGTGCAGTGGTTCACAGCTCAGGCTGCACCTGCTGCTCACCTACAGAGCTTTCCAGGACCCCAGTGCCCTGGCACAGCCCAGAGCCATAGAAGCCATCTCTGGAGCTACAGTTCAGAAACAGTTGTGGAATCGTTCCAGAAAATCCTAGCAAGTACTTCAGCATATGAGAAATTCCTCCATTGTCTGTCTCCTTTATTTTGTTTGTTTTGTTTGGAAGGTTTATGGTACTAAGGATGGAACCCAGAGTTCCTACCTGCTAGCTAAGAGCTCTACCACTGAGATCACTGACTGTCCTTGCCCAGCCTGCCCAGCCTAATTGCTCCTTGGCCAGCTTGCTGCTCTGACTACCTTGTGCTCATGGCACAGCCTACACTCAAGGGGCTCCTCTCTGAGCTGATTCCCTTCCAGAGCTCCAGGGGCCCTTTACATCCAGAAACACACTAGGCCAGCCTGAGCAGGAATCCCATTTGTCCAGTCCAGCTCCCTCTGGGCTCCAAGACAAACATGACAATTGAGCAGGAGAACTTGCTCAGAAGCCACATTTGCATGTGAATGAGCAAAATTCTGATGACTCAGCAGAAGAGAAGAGGGGACCCAGACAGGCTGGATTTGTCCTTTTGAGATGGGGGTGTCCTTAGGGAATGAACACAAAGGGTAGTAGTCCCAGACAAGGGACCTGTTCAAGCATTTGGAGCACTTGGAAGACATTGGAATCAGGAGCTGGGCAGCACAAGGGGGGTCTGGCCCAGCCACCCCAACTCTGGCATTCACCTGGCCTCTCAAGGTCCTGGTCTTGTGGGCATGCAGGAGGTATATGTAGGTGTGGAGTGGGGAGTGTGGCTCTGTTCTCTGAGCAGAGGTTTAGGTCCAAAGTGGAAGGGATGAGGAGGCAGCACTGAAAATGGTGACCTCACAAAAGGGTAGGGTTTGAGGAGTGGGGATGTCACTGTGCCCCTGCTTCGGGCCCAGACACACACCTTTCACAAAACTCAACACATGGGTTTCACATAGAAAACCAAAGGAGTGAAATGAGGAGAAAGAGCCCAGGGGTCACATGTGTTCTCAGCTATAATCTGGTTCCTGAAGTGCTCCCTACACGCATGCCTTCAGGAGAGGCAACACACAGCTTTTTCTAATGGACCATGGCAAAGAGCGAGAGCAGAGAGGAAAGATGGGGTGCAGGTCAGCTCACCTTTCTGCTGGCTCCAGGCCAGTGTCTGGACACCAAGGGCTCAGTCCAGAGCAGCCTCTGGTATTCTGGGATCTGCAGATTCTGAAAACCAGGGCAAGTCCGGAGTGCTGAGTGGGCGGGGCCAAGGGACTGGGGGCGGAGCAGAGCAAGGAGGGCTGTTTTGAGGCAGCATGGGATGGGAAAGACAAGGACGCCAGAGCCTACTAGCCTTGGAGTAGACCCTGCTTCATGGCTCCTGTAGGACCTCAAGGAGCGTGGCTCACGGCTGTTGGAGCACAGCCCACAGGTGCTTTTCTTTCCCTGGCTGAGGAGGCTGGACAGGAAGATTACAGGGTCACATGGAGGGAGAGCTCCCTACCTCCTCTGCCTTTATCTATTTGGATTACAATCAAATTCTAGCTGGACACTGAAGGTGGGAGTGTCTTGAGCCTCCCTAGAATAATGTGTCCTCAGAGCCAAGCTGGACAAAGCCAGGCAGAGGGGGCTTCCAGGCAGGGGAGAGGCTGGCCACATGTTTGGGCCAGTGGTCTCTCCTCCCATTTCTGTCCCCTTGACAGTGGTCTCCCTGCAGATACCATAAGTTTCCCTTGACACAAAACTTTTTTCATTGCACTCAAATAAAATCTGTCCCATCTGTGGTGGAGGGGAGTGGTAAAGTGGTAAAGAAAAGTTGTAGGGCTGGGCATGGTGGCACACACCTGTAATCCGGTGGCTCAGGAGGCTGAGTCAGGAGGATTTCGAGTCCAAAGACAGCCTCAGCAACTTAGTGAGGCCCTAAGCAACTTAGCGAGATGCTGTCTCTAAATAAAATATAAAATGTTCTGGGGATGGGACTTCGTGGTTGAGTGCCCCTGGGTTCAATACCCAGTACCAAAAATAAAAGATGTTGAGAAAAGTCACAGGGTCAGGGTTGGGGAGGCTGAGGTTTCCTGCGTGTCTGTCCAGTATTCCTGTGGAGATAGGAGCATGGTCAAAGGCAGCCTAGGGGATGAATGTGGGTAAGGAGGGTGTAGCCAAAATAACCTCTCACCTCTTCTAGTTCCAAGCCATCTTCCTCAGTGCCCACCTGGCACAGCCAATTGACTCCCAAAGCAGTGAGTTCTCATAGCTTCCAAGGGTGCTCTCGGTAGCAAATGATACAGAGTCAGCTTGTCAAGCTCCCTGCAGCCCTGGCTCTGGGTCCCAAGGATTCAGCTTCCCCAGCCTGGACTGGACCACTGGGCACCCTCTCTTCAAGCTAGGCAAGACTAGAAAGAGGACAGCACTCACCTAGGACATTGGCCCTCAGGGACAGAAGCTGCTCTGGCTCTTCCTGAGGAACTCCTCTGCCAGGCAGATCACATGAGTTTTTAGGGGACAGCCAGGATGTGGCAACACAGGGGACAGTCAGTGGTGGCAGATAAGGAAAGGATGGCAGGAAATATGTTATTTACACTTCCTGAGAGCTCAGTGGAAGCCAGGCCTCCATGTCAATTCTGCATTGATTGAACCTCTGCCCCGAGGTGGACTCTATTCTAAAAGTGCAAACAAGAACTGCCCTCCTGGAATTGAATGTGAAGAGTGGAATGTGGGAGACCAACCTCCCATGTGACCGAGTCACTCCCTGGCTGGGCAATTGAGATGTCAGGCAGCAGCCATGCTGCTAGACTGCCCTGCCCTTCTTGGGTCCAGGGATGGTGTCATCATGTAGAGGCATGTCTCTCGTCAACCCAGGGATCCAATCACCTCACCTGACCTTGAAACATTGCCCTCCTTGACCTTCATTGGACAGGATTTTCCTGAGAATTTAGAGTTCCCCAATAAAAGCCCACACCAAAGTGTGCTCTCTCTCTCTCTCTCTCTCTCTCTCTCTCTCTCTCTCTCTCTCTCTCTCTCTCTCTCTCTCTCTCTCTCCCTCCCTCTCTCCCTCCCTCCCTCCCTCTCCCTCTCCCTCTCCCTCTCTCGCCTTTCATGTAGATCCAAGCTCCCCCACTGGGAAGGTTGAGGCAGAGAACAAGAGGAACCACCCCAGAGCTTGGGTTTAAAGCAAAATTGTGTGTCTGTGTTTTATTTCTAACTCCCTGAGAATTTCCCTGAGTGATGTATTCAAACTAAAAAGTTTTTTCTCAGCAAGAGAAACAATAAGGGAGGTAAATAGGGAGCCTACATCCTGGGAACAAATTTTTACCCCTCACACTTCAGGTAGAGCTCTAATCTCCAGAGCATACAAAGAACTCAAAAAATTAAACAACAAGAAAACAAATAACCCAATCAACAAATGGGCCAAGTATCTGAACTTCTCAAAAGAGGATATACAATCAATTAACAAATACATGAAAAAATGCTCAACATTTCTAGCAATTAGAGAAATGCAAATTAAAACCAACCTAAGATACCATCTCACTCCAGTAAGAAAGGCAGCCATTATGAAGTCAAACAATAACAAGTGCTGGTAAGGATGTGGGGAAAAGGGTACACTTGCACATTGCTGGTGGAACTGCAATTGGTACAGCCAATTTGGAAAGCAGTATGGAGATTCCTTGGAAAGCTGGGAATGGAACCACCATTTGACCCAGCTATTTCCCTTCTCAGACTATACCCAAAAGACCTTAAAAGAGCATACTACAGGGACACAGCTACATCAATGTTCATAGCAGCACAATTCACAATAGCTGGACTGTGGAACCAACCCAGATGCCCTTCAATAGATGAATGGATAAAAAAATGTGGCATGTATACACAATGGAATTTTACTCAGCACTAAAAAATAACAAGATCATGGCATTTGCAGGGAAATGGATGTCATTAGAGCAGATTATGCTAAGTGAAGCTAGTCAATCCCTAAGAAACAAATGCCGAATGTCTTCTTTGATATAAAGGGGGAGACTCAAAACAGAGCAGGGAGTAAGAAGAGCATGAGAAGATTACCATTAAACAGGGAGAGGTGGGAGGGAATGACAGAGAGAAGGGGAATTGCAGAGAAGATGGAAGAAGACCCTCATTGTTATGCAAAATTACATAGAAGATGGTGTGAGGGGGAAGAAAAAAGAGAGAGAGAAATGTGTTACAATAGATGGGGTAGAGAGAGGTGATGGGAGGGGAGGGGAGGGGAGGATAGGAAGGGCAGCAGAATACAACAGACACTAGTATGGCTGTATGTATAAACATGGCTGTATAACCAATATGATCGTGCAATCTGTACATGTGGAAAAATAAGAATTCATACCCCTTTGAATCAAATGTATGATATGTCAAGATCACTGTAATATTTTGAGCAACTTATAAAAAAAAGAGAAAAAAAAAAGATTTATTGGGCCATGAAAATTTTTGTAGGGTCACGGAGGTAGCAGACAGTTTTCAGCCAAGGAAGTTAAAGATTAATAATGGGAAATTCAGTTTCAACAGATAAGGACATGTATTTGACTATATTGGAGACTCTCATTAATCAGAAATGAAAACAAGTTTTTAAAAAAAAACCAGCTATCACAGTTTCTAAAAACGGTTAGCAAGTTTTTGTGAACAACAATTACCAGATTTATGTACTTGGAAGAGATTAGGAAGAAAATTATATAAAGCCTGTCTCTCTGCCAAATTATCTAAAAGTACAAAAGATAATATTCAGAAAGTTTGGGATGCGTTAGAAATATGCCTTTTTTGATGACTTAGATCAAAGTCTGTGCCCCCCAGAGGACCTGCTGAAAGGGTTTCAAAGAGCCATCAAATCTATAGAATTTGAATAACTGCTGAGGCTAATTCTTCAAAAAGAATCTTCTTTTAAGGAGGCTGAGAACAGAATCAAATTCCATTCAAATCACCCATGAGGCGGATAACCTCAGGGCAAGACCAAAGGCTGAGCATTTAGCCTCAACTGAACTAGACCGGATTAGTCATTTAGAGAAACGTCCTCCCCAGAAAAGCCGAGAGGAGGTCCCTAGAGAGATAGAGAGTCCCCTTGGAAGCTTTGGGAAGTGAAATTAAGATAGTGATGAGGACACAGATGAGGAACCCCAGACAGAGGGAGGCCAATCAGACCATGAAATCCAGGAATTATCAGGAAATTTTAATAGATTACATCTAGTGGGACCTGCGCCAGCTATACAGATTTTGCCACTTCCAGTTGGGAGAACAAATTTTTAATAGGTACTCTGAACTCACAATGACTTTCCTTACACCATTACAACGTGGGTTCAGGAGAGCACAGGAAGTGGAAGAAGATATTACCAGGTTTCAGTTTTTTCCCCCTTTGAATAGGTAACAAGCAAGATCAGCGTGTTCATGTACATGCTGTAATTCCCTTCAAAACTGTAAAGGAGTTAAAAAATTCTTGTGATGTTTATGGCCCTAATTCACCATTTGTACAAGGCTTGCTTGCGTCAGTATGTCATCAACCCCTCCCAGCCAGCATTTGGGCGTCTATCACATGGTCCTGTTTGAGAGGTGTGGACTTCCTCCTTGGGAAATCATATTGGTTAGATTTTTGTATGGAGCAAGCAGAAAGAAACCGAAGGCAAAATATTGAAACCCCCTTAGAAATGCTTATGGGGACGGGTGAATATCCGAACTTGGAAACACAGTAGAATTATCAATTTGCAGTTTATGACCAGATAACCACATGCTCCAAATGCACATGGCAACCAATTAATTCCTAGGACCAGTCCAGTTTAGTTTTAACTAACATAAAACAAGGTGCCGAGGAGCTATATTCAGATTTTGTGGACCGCCTATATCAGATGGCTAATAGACCAATAGGATATCCAGTTGCTTGTGAATTTATTGTTAAGCAGCTAGCATTTGAAAATGCAAATAAACTTTATCAGGTTGTTCTCAGGTCCCATGGGGAAAAAAAAAGGACAGTTTCAGAATTTATTCGCCTTTGTTCGGATATTGGCCCGACTCAATTACAAGGTTTTACACTCACCGCCGCTTTAAAGCAAGCATTTCATCTGCAGCCATAGGTATGCCAATCCCAAGGGCCATATTTTAATTGTGGGAGAAATGGTC